ATCAGATGTTAGATTGGGCCAGCATAGCAGCTGCTTTGCTCTGGCGTCGCATTTTTCAACGTTGAGATGCCCTGCATGAACGTGCTTTAATATGTCCAATTGCATGCTACCTAGTATTACGACCTTCGTTCCTTTTAGAACGATGCCTTCGACCACTGAAAGTTCGAAAGCAAGCGACTTCAGTGAACCTATCACAGCGCACCCAGTCGCAAGCTTCTGAAGTACCTGCTGAAGGTACACGTCACGTTCGGTCTCACCGGCAAGCCTTGAATTAGTTTTCTCACTCGCGAGTGCCGATACTACTTTAACTCCACGAACTTCGACGTCACTTGGAGGAACAGCGCCGTCTTCGGAAGCAGGTGCCTGGACAAGGATGGCGGCCACAACTATCAGTTTGCCGGGAACAAAAGTCAATGTGTATTCATACTTCATTAACCACAAAAAGAAACATCGTACTCTAGCCGGCACGACAGCAATAGCCTTTATTAATATGTGAAGCACTGGGCGATGGTCGCTCTCAAGAATGAAAGGATGACCATATGCGAAGTGATAAAACTTTTCCTGTCCAAAAACTACGACCAAGGATTTTTTTTCTGTTTGTGATTAACGTTGTTTGGATTTGTTTAGAGCTCTGCCAGCGTAAGCCACAGGCCTCCAGGCGCTCCCGTAACGTTGCATCAGCGCCAAACCTCCACCGTAATGCGAGGCATCTGCCGTCATTTTTGTTTCTCTGCCTGGCTCTAACACTGCTTGAAGTGACAAGTTCCTTAGCTCTCTGCATACAATCTGCCATTCGTTCTCATGATTCGGTGTCCACTCAAAAACAACATCTTGCTTCAACAACGGACGCAAAGTAGAATCGGGTTGGGATAGTGATGACAAATAATTGCAAAAGTAGTTGACGACGCCTAAAAGCCTCTGTACCACTTGTTTGTCTCGTGGTACTGGCATTTTCAAGAGAGCTTCGGCCAAAGAAGGTTCAGGGACGCATGTCCATGCCTGCTAACAGTTCCCCCCAAAAAAGAAAACTTCTTCAGCGTTGAATGAGCCCTTTGACGCGTGGAATGTCAGTACTGCTTTCGCTGCCGTTAGTAGAGCATTTTGGAGCCATTTGTCGTGTTCTTTCAGGTTGGCAACCAAAATCAGCACGTCGTCAACATATTAATGGACGCTAAGCAAACCTTCAGATATCTCGTTGAGCGTTTTTCGAAAAACTTCGCTTGTAGATGAAATGCTAAAAGGCAGTCTAAGAAACCAATAATGGCCAGAGTGTGTGGCGAAGGTGCGTACTTTGGAAGACTGCTCACCCAGTGGTATCTAATTGAATCCGGCGTTAGCGTCAAGCCGAAAAAACACCTTTGCTCCTACCAGCTCTATTTCCATGTCTTCCTGGCACAGTATCTGATAATGTTCACTTTTCAGGTATTCATTATATCTTTCTTAGGTCTACGCATATATACCCGCAACCTCTTGTCCTTTTTAAGCACAATGACCAGAAAGCCCTCTGGTAATCTACGTAAAAAACCCTAGCCTATATTTGAGGACATATTAAGCATAACTGGAGTGCGTACAAGAAACCACAGGAGTCATGTGAAAAAAACTGCGAAAGTTTCAATACAACGTTAGTCTAATACACACTTGTCATTCTTTAGTTAGATCTCTGCTTTCACGTTACGTAAACACTGCCAGGAGGTATCCAATATTGCTCAACATAAAGACATTTTCAACTTCGCTCCAACATCTGAGCAGTAAAATGTGCTGTTAAGGATGGTACGATGAACCACGCAACATGCAAGGCTTGTCTATCAGCGAGACAGCTTCTGCCATCCATGGCTTGGAGGAGGAAGCACTTCTAAGTTCTCACTCTAGGGCTGGAGTGTCTGTTCTCTATACTTTCGCTGCTTCGGCTTTGCTCGCGGTGTTCTTTCTTCTACTCGAAGGATCATAAGTAAATCTAGCAAGCCATCGTTTCCCAAACTGTCCCTGCTGCTATCACGTGTCTCGATAAAAGGCAATTTTCTGCTTTTGAGATCCCGGTGGTATATGAAGCTTGATATGTGGGGTTTAACGTCCCAAAACCACCATATGATTATGAGAGACGCCGTAGTGGAGGGCTCCGGAAATTTCGACCACCTGGGGCTCTTTAACGTGCACCCAAATCATAGTACACGGGCCTACAACATTTCCGCCTCTATCGGAAATGCAGCCGCCGCAGCCGGGATTTGAACCCGCGACGTGCGGGTCAGCAGCCGAGTACCTTAGCCACTAGACCACCGCGGCGGGGTGGTATATGAAGCAATGGTGTCTGTCGGTCAATTACCCTGTGCGATATGTCGGTCATCATTGTGGCCTAAATAGCTGAAATAACTTTAAGGCCTATGGAATCACGGATACCGTATTGGACAGAATTATACGAAGTGTTTATGCCTTGGACATCATAGCACATGACGTTGAGCAGCACTCGAAAGCGTGATAAGTGCTGCTTCACTCAACGAAGCAGTTTTTGGAGGATATCGACAGCAACATCGTAAGGCTTTTCAGCCACCTGCAGGCCGTCAGTGCTCTTGCCGCTATACCTCTCACTACGTTCCTTGACCGTTTCAGCCTTAGCGGTATCAACAGACATCACCACGCAACATTTCCCCTGGCATCTCAGAAACGTAACCAATACTGCTCATTCTAGGACAAATAGTTTTTGAATGATCTCCACTGCAATTGAAATTATTATTGCGGCATATTTGTGGAGCTAGCAGCCACAAAGAAGAAGTGCGACCGATGTCTTCGCTGAAGCCTACCTGGGTAATGGGAGGTGGGTAAACGCCATTTTCGAGATGTCGTACTGAAGCTGTTTCAATGAGTAATAGGTCATTTGTTCCCATTTCAGGTGCACTAATGATTACCAGGAAAAAAGAAGTTATTTTCTACTTTCCTATCACTAAGCCTTGATTACTTAATTTGATGCCACGGTAAATAATTCAAAACTTTTTGCACCACTGGCTCAATTTTCGTTCATGGTCTTCTGAGGTCATTACTATAAAACAAAATCCGCACAAAACTGTATCAGTTTAAAATAAAGAAACTCAATGCTGACAGGGTTAACAAATTTATTTTCCTTCACCAAGCCTTTATTCTGGTAATCAGATGCCGTAAATTGTCTTCAGAATCGAGACCGCTAGCCGATTTTTCCACTGAATAATTTCAACTCAAACCACGGTAGCTTTATGGATGATTGGACATGAGTCCTGTTACGCTGCTCAATAGCACGCGTTACTAACAGCGGTGCTGTGATGAATGAAGTCTGGACAAGTCGCTGTATAGTGCCAGTTTAGCCTTTAATTCTTCAGAGCATTTTGGTATCTCAATAGCGCCTCAGTTCCCGTAGCGAACTCCACGTCAGTAATTTGTTCCTCTTTTAATTTAATGAACACGTCTGATTCCATGTTGTTCGCTTCCCGTCGTTTTGTTACCGACTCTGTAGTACCGATCTTTGCGCTTTCTAAAACGCTCTTAGCTTCCTTGATGAGGCGCGTATTCTTTTAATAACGCGTCGCAGGCGAGGGGTGGACATCCTTAATTTTGGTGGAGGGAGCACCTCTTTGACATGGTGATTTTCTACTCAATACGCTACGTAGAAAAACAATCAAGGGGGGAGGGGGCATAGGTAACCTGGGCCAGCCTGGCTGTGCCATAGACGGGACGTGCGCTTTATTTTCAAATGACTTGTAGTCTCTTCCCCTGCTGTAACTCAACTTCACATTCGTAGAACGAAGCTGGATTTCACATTTTTGGTTGGGCCTGCTTAAAATCACATTTTGAGTCAGGTTTTATGTTACAAAGTTGAATGTACCGGCCTCTTTCCCGGCAAGTGCTTAGTAAAGTCATCCTCTTGCTTTCTGTTAGGCTGTCTTCCAGAAGAGGGGTGCTTGGGAAGCAGAACTCCCGATGAGTTTTTGGCATCATATGTAGAATAAACCACATTAGTTGAGAGACAAACGATCATATTTACATAAAAAGAAACAATAGCGCTTCCATGAAGTTGGTTGGTTTGTTGACGCTTATGAAAACTAGCTCAATCCATCGTGGAAGATCGGCCATGAAATTGGCGGCGCCTTGTTATGTAAATGAACATGCTCTAGTACGCTTAGTGATAGACAGTTTCGAAACAACATGTTAGCTTTATTTAGGAGAGAAAAAAAAAGAAAGCTATCACTTATCTTTGCTTTCTTCGTGTACGCTCGAACACCGACTAATGCTCAATGGAATTCGTTAAAGGGTTTTTTTAGGGGGCCGGTTCATAGATTTTTGGTTTGTTCGAGAGCTTAAAGGATCTGGATAAGACGCAGGGGCGTTGCAGTTACCTTTCAATATGCTTAGAGTCAACATTTGTATGGGTCGTTGCACTGGGGTGCAAGCTTTATGAAGACGCTGAGGCACTGCCACGGAATTAAAAGTCACATTTAAAAGCCAACAGGGAAGGTGTGAGGAGGCTTGTCCTGATATTGTCGTCCTATATAAATACCTTGTGATCCGGACGCAATTGAAGGTGCTCGCGGCATTTTTTGACACAGTGAAAGTTTACTGCTGCCGTGCTTGTGTACCTCACAATATTATCACGACATTTCTCGTGCTAATGCAAGACTGAGCGCTTACAGCTAATTTTGATATCACCCGTCGCACATTTTAACGGAATTTTATTCAGCGTAATTGCGTTGCCAGATATATTGCGCTTCTCAGAATCACGTTGAAAATGTTATTTTGTATTGAAGTCAGCCGTACTAGCGGATAGAACAATGTGGATCGATCATTCCAGAACATCAGTTCTGGGCCACGCTGCACGAAGGACTCCAGTCTTACAAAAGAAGTTCTTCAGAAAAAACCGTCATGTGTGTGCTCACAAAACCTTTATTTCGATTGTGACGTACATGACAGGCATGCATACTAATAAATGCAAAAGTAATCACACGCAGTAGTATATTTAGCTCGTTATATTAGAAAGACTTCTGCTTGATACAGGCAGTCATCGTGCTTCATTAGGTGTGTGCTATGTGCAGTAAGAAAGTTAAATTGAGGTCTTAATTCGCCTCGAAACCAGGTACGACGCCCTTCATTCTGGAACTTTTTTGCCGGTCAACCATTCATGTGTGTTGTCCTTTAAAACAGCATTGAGGTTGCAGATCTGAAAAAAAGCAAGCTATTATTGCCTGTAGTTGAAAAATTCGAGTGACAACTTTTCAGCCGGATTTCTTCAATCTCATTATCATAGAAAGCAATGAAGCCGCTGGGAAACTTGAAAGCTAGGTGCATGATCTCGTTAGGAGCCAGAGTGCGAAAAACCTGAGCCTTCCAAAAACAGTTTGTAGAAGCCATGTACTGGAAGTGGTAAAACAATTTTTAGCTTTCCTGTGTACATAGGTGGGTCCATTAGAGCTGACTCATGAAGCTCGTGCTCTTCGTTTAGCTGCGAATTGTCATATTCTTACGAGTAACTTATTTAATAAATTATATACGATGGACCGTGCTTGGCGAACAAGATGGCGGCAGTTCATCAACAACCAGCAACTGACGTCGTCTTTCTCTTTCTTGCGGCAAGACTGTGCGTGTTGTTGTGTATCATAACCCCCCGGCGGTAGAAGCACCGTCTCGGTGCTTCAGCAACTCGGATGTGATAGAAAGAGGGTGATAAGGCTTGAGTCGAGCTACGTGCATGACGTAACTCGAAGGTGACGATGATGACGTTGGATCGGCTGGAACGATCTCGTATTTAACGTCAGCCCCCTGGTGAACGATGCGGTATGGTCCAGTGTAGCGTGACAGCAGTTTTTCAGAAAGGCCTATACGCCGAATGAAGGACCAGAGGAGGACAAAGGAACCCGGTGAAAAGTGCACGTTTCGATGATGGGAATCGTAGAGCTGTCTTTGGTGCTCCTATGAGGCCTGCAGGCGGCTGCGGGCGAGATGGCGTGCGTGGTTGGCTTGCGCGATGGCTTCGCCGGCATACTCAGTAACTGAGGGCAGCAAGGTGTCAAAGAGTAGGGCGGGTTTTCAGCCGTATAGAAGATAGAATGGCGATTAGCCGGTAGTGTCGTGACGTGACGAATTATATGCGAACGTCACAAATGGCAAATTAATGTCCCCGTCCTGGTGTTCGGCCGCTACGTACTTAGAAAGCATGTCGGTTATGGGGCGATCGAGGTCCTCCATAAGACCGTTTGTTTGCGGATGGTACGAAGTAGCAAACTTGTGCTTGGAAGAGCAAAAGCACAGGATTTCATCAGCGACAGCTGATAGGAAGGTCCGGCCCCTGTCAGTGAAAAGTTGGCGTGCAGCTCCTGTGTCCGAAAATAATATCATATACCGGACAGTCCACCACATCGGTTGCGCAACTTGTCGGAAATGCGTGTCTGATAGCGTACCGCGTCACATAGTCAGTGGCAACAGCAATCCATTTGTTTCCTGAGCTGGAGATCGGGAATGGGCCAAGCATGTCGAGGCCGACTCGAAAAGAAGGTTCAGTGGGAATGTCGATCGCCTGAAGGAATTCAGCTGGTAGGGAGGATGGCTATTTGCGGCGCTGGCAGGGCTCGCAAGTGGCGCCGTAGCGTCCAACAAAACGGGCAAGACCAGGCCAAAAAAAAGAAACGACGACGTACATGGTCATATGTGCGAGACGCGCAAGTGGCCCGCCAAGGGAGCGTCATGAAGTTGGTTGAGGACAGTCCCACGAAGATGTGCTGTTATGACGGGGAGCAAGTCATGGCCATATGGATCGAGGTTACGGTGATACAAGATCCCGTCTTTGACCAGCAACATTTTTAGAGATGCGTCGCGAGGCATTGACTCAATCTTGTCAATGATGGTTCACAGGGAAGCATCCTGGCGTTGTTCGTGGCCAAGATTGAATAGCTGCGCAACAGACAGAAGGCCTGGAAAGGTGTCAGTATGCGCAGCTTCTTCCACAGTGTAGCGTGATAAACAATCCGAATCTAATGCGACCACCCTGTTTTGTACGTTACGGTGAACGTGTATTCTTGCAAACGTAGGGACCAACGAACGAGGCGTCCTGTGGGATCCTTCAGTGAGGCCAGCCATCAGAGCGCGTGGTGGTCGGTGACTACCCGGAATAGACGCCCGTATAGGTACGGGCAAAACTTGGCGACTGCCCACACAAGAGCAAGACACTCACGCTCCGTGATTGAATAGTTGCACACGGCGGTAGATAGCAGTCGGCTTCCATATGCTATAACACGTTCATGTCCACGTTGGTGTTACAATAGCATTGCCCCTATGCCGTGCGCACTAGCGTCAGTGCAAACCTCGGTTGGAGCTGATGGATCAAAATGAGCTAAAATCGGCGGTGTTGTAAGGAGCGTCATGAGCTGGAAAAAAGATGAGGCTTGATCAGCGCCCAAGAAAAACGGCGTGTCCTTCTTCAAGAGGTTTGTGAGTGGGCGTGCAATGATCGCGAAGTCTTTAACAAACCATCGAAAGTAGGAGCCCAAACCAAAAAAACTGCGAACGTCCTTTGTTGACTTCGGAACAGGAAAGTCCATGACGGCGCGAATTTTCTCGGGATCAGGGCGGACTCCTGCGGTATCGACGAGGTGGCCAAGTACGGTTATTTGACGACGAGCGAAGTAGCATTTTGAAGAGTTCAATTGAAGTCCCACTCGACAAAAAAACCACCGATAAACAATCGAGAAGGGAGTCGATTGTGGGTGAGAAAACGACAACGTCGTCTTAATAACCTAAGCAGGTTGACCATTGAAACCCTTGGAGCAATGAATCCATCATTCTTTCGAATGTGGCCGGCGCATTACAGAGACCAAAGGGTATAACTTTGAAGTGATAAAGACCGTCGGTAGTGACGAATGCGGTCTTCTCACTGTCCATCTCGTCTACAGCAATCTAGCAATAGCCAGATCGAAGGTCCATAGTAGAAAAATACGTATTACCGTAAAGGCAGTTTAAAGCATCGTCATTTCTAGGCAACGGGTAAACATCTTTCTTCGTAATTTTGTTGACATGCCGATAATCTACACAAAAGCGCCATGTTCAATCCTTCTTTCTGGTCAGGATGACAGGAGAAGTCCAGGGGCTAGAAGAGGGCTCGATTATGTTTTTTGCAAGCATCTTTTCGAGTTCCGGTCGTATGACTGTACGCTCGGACGCGGAAGCATGGTATGGACGTCGGTGAATGTGACTCGCGTTACCAGTATTGATGCGATGGGTAACAACACTCGTTCGGCTTAAGGCCGTGCTGGCGAAGTCAAAATTGTCACTATAGGACTCTATGACGTGACGGAGGGCTTCCGATTGATCAGGAGCGAGGTCTGATTGTACCGTGTGGTCAACGTCGACGCCCGATGAACGTAATAGAGTTAGTTCATGGTCTCAGGTGCAGCAATCATCCACTCTGAAAAGCTCAACCGTAAGGCCTTGTAGGGCAGTAATTTTGGCCATGGAGACACCTGGAGGAAGAATTTGGGCAGTGAGGGCAAAATTGACAATAGGAAGGCATGTGGGGTTTTCAACAATTGTCAAAATGGTGTGCGGAACAGTGACGTCATGCGTAAGCATTACCGCATTAATTGGTGCCACCATGTAATCGCCGTCAGCTACAGGTGGCGTAGAGGAGAGGTCTATATGTGTAACACAGTTACCCGGAAGGCGTGCGAAACCAATGCAGCAAAGACGACTTTGCGGTAGGTTGGTAAGATCAGAAAGTAGAAGCATTTCAAGGTCAAGACAGCCGGCTGAACAATCTACAAGGGCCGAGTGAGCGGTTTGAAAATTTATACCTAGAATTACATCATGAGGGCGTTTTTCTATAGCGGTGAAAACAACAGCAGTGCTTCTATCGGTGGTAGTCACATGGGCAGAACACATGCCAATAATGGCGGCAGTTCTCCCGTCGGCGACTCGAACGGCTCGGTTCAAGGCGGGTGTGATAACTTTCTTTAGGTGGCAACAAAGAGCAGCACTGATTATGGACACATGCGCGTTGGTATCGATCAACGCGCGCGCAGGTACATTGTCTAAAGTAACGTTCAACAGATTCCGGGTGGTCGGTAATCCATCGTGAACTTACAGCGCAACGCCAGAAAAACTACAGGACAGGGAAGGAGCAGAAGAGAAAGAAAAGACGGCGCTGTAATGTTGCACGAGGATTTCTTGCAGAGGTCGTCGTCAATGCAGCTTCACCTCCAGAAGCTGCACTTTCTAGTTTTCTGGTAGGGGCGCTGCGAATAGGTCGGAGAGGCAGGACGGCGTTGTGAGGGCGAACGAGATTGACGGCGAGCAGGGGATGGTGAGCGGGCGTAGCGAAATCTTGTCAGAGGTGCGGCAGAATCAGAAGGTGTGGTCGGCATAGGGGAATCAAAATCAAATGCTGAGGTCGACTGGTAGACAGAAGTGGCCTGGGTAGGAGGCCTATAGTGTACCGGCAGTGCCCAGTGATTGCGGCAGTGGCAAGAAATATGACCGACACGTCGACAGTTGAAGCATATAGGCTTGTCGTCCGCCATTCGGACAAATTGCAATGTCGAGAGTACTTGGAACCACAGTGAGGAGCGGAGGAAAAACGATAAAAAGGCTCGGCAGAGTAGACTGGTTGAACGGGGTGTAGACCGACGTTCGATAATTCTTGACGAAGGACGGCTTGTATCAGTGAGATTGTGGTCGGTGAAGGATCAGGCGTTGGAAATGGAGTAGCTACTGGTTGAGCTGCCTCGACCTCGCGATGAATGATGCGGGTAAGGTTGTCCCATCGGGGAACTGGTCAGATGGCGTCATCACAACAGGAAGTAGCAGCTGTGTTCGGCAGGCGCGTGATGCCGTGGGTGACGCGGTGGGCTTTAATCTGTTCTAGACGGCGGCATTCTGTGAGGATCGTGTCGATGCTCGTGACTTTATTAGAAAACAGCAGGTTGAAGGCATCGTCAGCAGTTCCTTTGAGGACGTGATTAACGTTTTCGTCTTCCGACATGCGCTGGTCGACCTTGCTAGAAAGCGCCAAGACATCAAGAATGTATGAGATTTGCGATTCAGTAGACGTCTGGGCGTGAGTGGTGAGAGTCTTCTTGCAGCGTGCTGACGACCAGATGAATAGATGAATCGCCGAAAAGATCACGGATCTTCGTTTTGAAAAGTTTCTAGCTTATGATTTTGGCTTCACTG